TTCCTTCCTTCCTTCCTTCCTTCCTTCCTTCCTTCCTTCCTTCCTTCCTTCCTTCCTTCCTTCCTTCCTTCCTTCCTTCCTTCCTTCCTTCCTTGATATTGGAGACTTATTTCCACATGACTTTTTCCTGGGGAATTTTACATGGCGACTTATTTATTCAGAGTGAAAATCTTACTAAAATTGGGATTTGCCAGGTACTGAGAAGTGATTGCAGATTCTCCATGATAAATGCATCATGTAGAAATCCACAGATATAAATCTCACCCATCAAAAGTATGAGTCTCAGTTTCCATAGATTTTTCTCATTTGAAATATCCTGCATTTGGCTCCTGACAGCCCAGGTTCAAGACCTGAGCGCTGTGCGACTAGTGAGTTCCTGTTATTTGTCCCAGCTCCTGCCCACTTAGCAGTTCGAAAACATCCAAATGCAAGTAGAAAATAGATAACAGTTTGGTGGGAATGTACTAGTGTTCAGGTCCTTCGGCATATAGTCATGTTGGCCACATGATCAGAGAAAATGTTTTCAGACAGCGCTGGTCTCCTTGTCTGAGAAACGAAGTTGAGTACCGTCCCCTAAAGTCAGACATGACTGGACAGGGGAAATCTTTACCTTTACTGGCATTAGAAATATTTAGGAGCTCAGCTCCTAGATCTTGTTTCCACTAAAGAATAAATGAAATTTTCTTAAGGTTACTAGTTTGTATGTGGACAGCTTTTCTTTTAGCTAGGTTTCTGCAGCTAAACTGGGAAAGGTAGGCAATTGTAAATTCTTTCCTTTAATCTATACATGATGGATAGCAGAGTGATATTCAAATGAAGGGAGAAGAAATGATGCAATGAATGCTTACATGAATGGATAGTGTATCCATCAATTCATTTATCCATAATGTTGGACTTCCCCGTCTTAAAAAAATGGAAAATTTCTAGGCAATCTGTACGATCTGAAGGAGTACCTGAGAAGCACCTCCATTTCAGTACATGGACATTTTTGGAAGCAGTTTTCAAATGAGACTTTGATTTTAATTAATTAATTAATTCAGTTACCTTGAATGAATATGTTATTTTCATTGTGTATTGGTCAAATGAATATATTTTGAAAAAAAGTGAAACTTTTTGTGCATTTACATTTTAGACATATACCTAAACTATTGTAAATATTTGTGTACAATATATAAAGAACTTGCATCACAGCTATAATGCTATTTCTATGTGTTTATTGATGGCTGATTTGTCTAAATGACAAACTCCTGGAATTCTTAGATTTAGCTTGATCTAAGATGCTCATAGTTACCTACTTGAAACTATGGTTGAATGTGTCCATGTGTTATGAGATTATGGAGTTTTCATCTATCTTCTGATTGCTGGCTGGTGTTAATATATGTGCTCTACTGGTCTTCTGCCTGCCTGTCCTACTTAATAATTGTACAATCCTTATACTATGTATTATAGATGACTCCGGTTCTTTTCTTCTTGGCTACTGGGTCTTTTGGTTTACTTAAGATATTTTGGAGGGCTTTAGTTAATTTGTGCACTACAGTGATGCTATTTGGTTGTAATTTGATTGAATGGTTTCTGAGATGTTGGCTTTTTTGCTTTGTGTGCAATACTGATGTATATGGTTGTAATTGTCTGTTTGTTGTTGTTGAGATATTTTTGATATATGATAGTGTTTTTCTTTTCATAGCTTGTGTTGATTGTTCTGAAATAGGTTGAGTGGTCAGGCACCTTTTGATAAAGTTGTATGGTATCTCTTTTATTAGAAGATGTTGTATAGGGATTCTGTTTCCTTTTTCTGATGTTCTTGGTTGCTGCAGTATGAATGTACTCATATGAATAATGTCCTTATACAGTTCCTCTTGTGAGAGACTGGCTTGTTATTTTGTAATGGAGCACTTGGTTAGTGTAGAATAGATTGTTTTATGATAGATTTACACTTCTAATTTGCTGTCAGTTCCTCTGCTGAGGATATCCAGGAAGAGTAATATGTTGCTTTCTTTTTCCCATGTTAATATTATTAACATAATAATATTGAGGATGAAATTGATTGTGTCTTTTCTAATTGTACCTTTTTCATTATAACAAAGGTGTCACCTGCATACCAGATCCATACTTTTGGTTGTATGTATGGGAGGGCTGTAGTTTCTAGACACTGCATTAGTCTCTGCTATTTAGACTACTATGAGTCATGAGAGTAGTCATTCCATGAGTGTTCTGGTTTGTTGCTGTATTTGTCCATTAAGTAGGTAGTGAAGCAAGGGTTGATGAATTTCAGCTTCTTCTATTTTTAGGTCTTTGATTTTGTGGCAGCACCATAATGTTGAATTGATAGAACATTCACTCCATTCTGTGAGATATCCAAGCTTTTTTGTAAGTTCTTTGGCTGTGTTGTATGTTGAGTCTCTGGCAATAATACAATTGGATGAGAATGTATGTTGGGCTTGTATAGTTTGGAAGACTGGGAGGATACATCCAGAAAGATTAATGCAATCTGTTTGTACTATGTTATGGAAAATATTCAATTATATTTAAAGTTACTCTTACATTATCTTTTAGTTGTCTTTTAGGTAAGAAAAAACACTGGACTTCATGTATATAATCCTGTAAAATGTTTTAAAGTCTTTCAACTGAAATAGAAGTGAAGAGTTTGTAATAACTATTAAGGAGGGAAATTGTTTTTTCCTTATTTTCCTCCAAATTGTTAATAGTGCGTCTCTAATTAAATGTCTATGGAAATATTTTTGACTGGTTTTCCCTACGTCCCATAGAAAGGCGTGCCACCCCCTTTGTAAATCATGGCCTTCTAGAAATAGTATTCTTTTATTGGTTAAATTCACCCAATCCTTCAACCAAACTAATGAGGTGGCCATATGGTATAACTCCCAGTTTGGAAATGCTAACCCTCCCCTGCTCTTCATATCCTGCATTGCTTTTACATTTATTCTGGGTTTTTTCCCTTGCCAAATAAATTTCAGGGTTGTTCTATTGAGTTCTTCAAAAAACTTTTTATGTAATTTAATTGGGATCGTTTGGAATAGGTACAAGAATTTAGGGAGAATGTTCATTTTAATAGTAGCAATTCGGCCTAGTAATGAAATTTGAAGTTTCCCCCACGATTCTAAATCTTTCTTTACCTGGTGTATCAGTTTATCATAATTGTTTTCTTTAAGTGTCTTACAGTGTGGGGTTAGCCAAATTCCTAAGTATTTCACTTTCTTTGTCACTTGTATATGCATTATTTCTTCTAGTTCTATTTTCTGTTTTTCTGTTAGGTTTTTGGTCATTAATTTGGTGTTGTTTTTTTTGTTTATTTTAAGTCCCGCTACTGCTCCAAATTTCTCTAATTCACTCATCAATTTTGGTCCCCTGTCTTTTGGTTCTTCAAGGAAGAAAATCATGTCGTCCGCAAACGCTTGCAATTTATATTCCTCTTTCTTAACTGTTAATCCCTTTATATCTGAATTCCGCCTAATTCGTGTTAATAATGTCTCTAATGCTAATATGAAGAGCAGGGGAGAAAGTGGGCAACCCTGTCTCACTCCTTTTTCTATCTTTATTGGGCGGGTGCATTCCCCATTCACTATTATATTAGCTTATTGTGTATCATATATAGTTGTTATAATATTTTCAAATTTGGTACCCAGATTCAAATTATAATTTTTTTGAATTAAAAATTGCCAATTCAAATTATCGAAAGCTTTTTCTGCATCTAAGAACATGAATGCTACTTGTCTCTCTGGGTGGGCTTCATAAAATTCTAGTACGTCTAATACTATTCTTAGATTATTCTTTATTTGCCTAGTTGGAAGGAATCCGTTTTGATCTTCATGTATATACAAGTTTAGCAATCTTTTTAATCTGTTTGCTATAATTGAAGTGAATATTTTATAATCAGTATTTAGGAGTGAAATCGGCCTGTAATTGTTTATATATCTGGGATCTGTATCCTCCTTCGGGATCAGCGAAATCAGTGCCCCCCTCCATGAGTCCGGCATCCTGGCTGCTAGTAAAATGTCATTAAAAACTTCCACCATAAGTGGTCCGATTTGATCTGCTATTGCCTTGTACAGCTCCCCTGGGATCCCGTCTGGGCCCGGGGTTTTATTATTTTTCTGGCTCTCTATTGCTGATTTCAATTCCGATTCAGTAATGTCTTTATTTAATAGTTCAGCCATTTCTTCCCCAATTGCCTTATCCTTAACTTCATCTAGATAATTCCTTATTCTATCTTCACTGTATAAATCTTCAAAGTATTTATGAATAATTTCTTTTTTCTGTTCTATTTCCTGGTATGTATCTCCTTTGCTATCTATTAACTGGTATATCAATCTCTTCTCTTTCTTTTTTTTCAATTTATAAGATAGCCATCTTCCTGGCTTGTTGGCATGTTCAAAATAGATTTGTCTGGTTAAGTTCAAATTCATAGTCATTTTCTCTTGATCAATTAAATTCAGTTTGTGTTTGACTATACTTATCTGATTTTGCAGTTTGGATTCTTTTGGGTTATTTTGTAGAAGGGTTTCTAGCTCCTTAATTCTTTGTTGTAATTTGTTTTGTTGGGAATATTTTTCCTTGTTTCTCTTGGCATTATAAGAGATTGTTGTGCCTCTTATAACCGCCTTCATCGTATCCCAGACATTTTGTTTCGTAGTTTCTCCATTATCATTTTCTTTAATAAAAAAATTCAATTCCTCCTTTAATTTATTAATGTATTCTTTCTCTCTTATTAATTGAGTGTTTAAGGTCCATCTTTTCTTTGGTTTTGCCCTGCCCTTCCATATTACCTGTATTGGATTATGGTCTGCCCATTCATTAGGCAAAATTTCCACTTCTTTTGTCTCGTTTGCTATCTCCCCACTCATCCATGCCATATCAATCCGTGTCCATGTTTGGTGGGGATTTGAATAAAATGTAAATTGTCTTTTTTCAGGATGTAATCTTCTCCATATATCTGTCAGGTTTAGTTCTTTCATCATTTCCCTACAAATCTTGG